CGAGAGATTTGATGGCTTTCTTCTTGTTTAGAGGAAATGCACGCTCAGTATTTGTGATAGATTTCCTTCTCTTTTTGCTTCTAGAATGCTAGTAATGAAAGTTTACCTTGTGAGACAAGAGTGTAGATATGGTTTTTCTTCTTCACAGGCTGCAAACCCAGAGGAAGATAGCACATTAACTGGTGTAAATCCAAAACCTAAGGAAGAAGCTGATACTATTACAAGAATGGAGGAATTGTGTCCTTTGGTTTCTTCAGATGATGCACAGCAGGCTGTTCCAGGAGAGAGTGAGGTGGTACATAGTTATAAATCTGTAACTCTAGAAACTAAAGAGTGTTCTCCTACTGCAGAAGCCGAGAAGACTAGTTCCAGTTCAGCTGATCAGACTACAAGTGATATGCCTGTTAGTTCTTCAAGTTACAAAGCACTATGTGGTGTTGAAAACTGTGTTCGTAAAGAGATCAGCCTTGTTCCTGATGACGATAAACTGCCACCGCTTTTGCTTGCAGTGGGTGAAAAAGGAAAAGGTAAAATTTGAGAAAATTGTTAATACTTAATCACTTGATGCAAGATTTCTAAATATGAACTTGTGTGTATTTAATTTGTATTTTAATACAATTCTAATCTCACATTTGTTTGCTGCACATTGGATTGTTGGATAATTGAACATGCATTATTAGCAAGATCAATACGTTATGCAAAGAATATTTCATCACTTAAATGCATTATAGTAGTAACTGTGCTGCTCATTGATGGTAACTAACAGTACCAGTGTATGGATGAGGAGACAGCATACACAAGTAGTCAGTAATTAGCAAATGAATGATAGCCATAGTTTGCAGCTTTGTTACAAGTTACTGCTTTGTTTTTATTTTTCTTAAATCTTAGGGTAAGTTATTCATTAGTTGATCTGTTGCTATTCTAAGTTTAAGAATAGTTACCACCCTCTTAGGGTAGGAGGATGGGACAGTCTTTCATACGCTATGATCTGTAATTCTTTTAGGTAGTTGGCTGACATGTTGAACTAAATTGGGTATTATTTTATTTAGATCCTCTAGTGGAAGAACATCCATCTCACCAGCAGGTCACCTTGCTTCTTGTGGAAGGAGGTCCTAATCCATTAACTTTCATCCTAAATGCAAACTTGCTTGTAAATGTCAAGCTAATAACTTGTAAGTAGTGCACATTTTCTTTTCCATTAAATCCAGCTTGCTTTTTCTGACTGTAGAACAGCATTACTGTGGTATCTATCTCTTTAATTAAAAGATTCTTCAGAAAAGTGCTGGTTCTTCTCAACAAATGGACTACATGGTTTGGGTCAGGCAGAAATTGTCATTCTGTTGCAGTGTTTGCCAAATGAAGAGATTTTTCCCAGTGAAATATTCAAATTATTTATTGACATCTATAAGGATGCAATGAAAGGTATGTAATTTTAATGTCTAACTCTTTTATTTTATAATGTTTTCTTGCTGATCTTTAAAGCTGGAAGTGGATAGGTCATTTTTCCTCAAGTATTTGTAAGTGTCTAATGATTCTGTTGAAAAACCTTGCAGTGTTAGCCTTGGGTTCTAAAGAAACAACAGGAAGAAAAGAATTGAAGTTTCTTTGGTTTTTTTACTTCTGTAAAAATCCTGTTTGCAGTCTAGTTGTTGTTATTTAGTCATATTGTGTTGGAAATTCTGGGTTATAAGTCCTTGAGTCAATGGTTTAGGACATCTGGAACTTCATTTGTAGAAGTACAATACTCTTGCGTATGTATATATTTGAGGTCTGTTAATCGAAGTTCATCAATTGGTGTGTGTCAGAACATAGTACTCTTTAGGGGTTTTTGGTATTTGTTTGGAAAAACCTAGTTTCATATTCGAGTTCACTTAGTAATACAGAGCAGTTGGTCTATGGGTTTAGATGTCTGTCAGACTTCCAGGAAGATGCGAGATAACACTGTGGTTAGGAGACCAGTGGTTAGAATCGTTTTCTTGACACTAATGTATTCCTTCTCCAGATGTGCAAAGACTCTCTATCCCTCTTTCTACAGGAAGGTTAATAAGAAGCATGGAAAACATCACTTTTACTGAAAACTTGCTCGGTAACAAAGAGCATGGAGGATTCCTGTTTGTTTCACCAACTTTTCAGAAACTTGATGATCAAATTCTACCAGATAACCCTTTTCTCTGTGGCATTCTCATCCATAAGCTGGAAATACCCTGGGCGAAAGTTTTTCCAATCCGTTTAATACTGAGATTGGGAGCAGAATATGGGGGTAAGTTTTAACACTTTAAATAGCTGTATAAATGTAAAAGTCCTTCTGGAAAAGGCAAGGTTTTTTAGGCCAGCAAAATATTTAAAGTCATCTTTGCAGTATTTTATATTACACTTGTGTCAGACTGTGTTATACATTGGAAGGCAGCTATTGAGACACTTGGGAATTTGCATTGTCATGCTAGACTCCCTTGACTTTTTTTTCCTGTTCTTAGCTGATGAGAAAGCTAAGAAACCAAAACTGACCGTAGTAAAGTATCAAAGTGTCTAGTTTCTGTTGTCATAGGAAAAAGGTTTGAAGGGAAGTTCACAAGCCCAATTTACAACTCTGACAATTGGTTTTTTGAGTTTAAATTACTAAAATTGAGAATATTGGCAAAATATTACTGCTTCATAAAATGAATAAAGGTATTCATTACTTATGAGGATAACTTACTACTTAATACATTTGAAATCTCTAGGCCTGTAAAAATGCAGAAGGTATTCTTTCAAAGTGAGGTGGATGGAGAGCACAGCACACAAATGTGCACCACCAGAGGTTGTGCAGTCACCCAGCCTCCATGTGTGGGAATTACTTTCCACAGTTTGTTGCAGGTGGATGTGAGCATTTTCTGCTCTCCCAACGAGATTTACATTGACTTTGCACCAGGCTTACCAAAAGAAAAGCGTTTACACAGATCCCCATTGCCTTGAAGAACAGATAAGCTAGCTTCTGCAAGGTCTGAAACTAGATACTGTCCTAAATGCCTTCTAGAGTTGCTCGCATACTTGCTTGAATAACAGAGACATTTAATTTAGTGATAGAGGTGTTGGTTTTTTTCCCCTTGCACTGCTGCTTATGATTTAGAGAGCAGGAGTTCAGATAAGGAACATGCAGCTGTTGCTTAAGCAGAATGGATTTAAAAAATGTATCATGTGCAACTTTCTTGACCTGAATGCATTTTTTATAAATAAGCCTACTGTTCTAGAAGCTGCGAGTCCGTAAACATGTATCACTTGCTTGTTTATGGATTTCTTGAGTCAATAGCAGATTTCTACTGGCTAGGCTTCTGTCTGTGTGTTGACAAGGGTGGTAGCTTCTTTGTCATTCTTCTTTCTCTTACCGAACTACTTGTCTTTTTTTTTTTTTTTTTTAAATTTTCTCTTTGACCTCACAGTCCTGACTTTGCTATGCTACTTGTTTGGGTTTTGTTTTTTTTTTCAAATGGCTTCATACTGTGGTCTCCTGCATCTATCTCATTGCCTTCCCTAATTTCCATCAGAATGTTTCCCATTGCAGCCATGGGACTTCAAAGCATGTTACTTTGTAGGAACATCCTCACTCACTCCATTCTTGCTTATTGATACTAAGCATTCACTTTGTATTATAGTGTTAATGTAGAAGCAGGTGTTAACCTATATGGTTTTCTTAGTCAAGCAACTATGATGACTCATAACCCCTCCCACAGCTGGTGACCCAGAGACTAAACCCAGGATGTTTCCATCCAAGATCACCTATTGCAAGAAGCTGACAAAGCATATGAAAGCAGCAACACATCTCTGCCACAAAATTACTACCTCTAGGAGAGTGACTCCAGGCAGTAACATTGCAGTAGGATTTAACCGTGGGTGGGGAAACAATGCAGTGGGTTGAAGGACAGTCCATGACAGAGAATCAGACAGGGGCTCTAGTTCCTTTGGCTGGTCAGATATTGAGATTAAGAAACATAGGCTATAGCTGAAAATAAAAATAAATACTTGGATTAGCAAGTCTTAGAGTTGGTGACAGGTAAACATGACCTTTTTTTTCTTCCTCCACCCTAGCCTACCCAACTCCTGTAGTAAGTTTCAGGCACAGGAAGCCACTCTTTGGAGAGATAGGACACACAATTATGAATCTGCTTGTTGTGAGTAAATGTTTTATTCTCTTCCTTTCCTGCTGTAATATAGGTTGTGTAAAATATCCTCAAAACTCTGATTCTTGAAAGCAGTTATTTTTTGCAAAGGGCTAATATTTCTGTTCTTCATATGTGACTTGAAACTTTCTTACCAAAGAGTATTTATATGTGAGTTAGGAAAGCTGTATCTTTCACATCATATTGTGACACAGTAGTTCTGGTAGTAAGAAATGGCTTTAAATGAATGAGAAAAATGTTGACGTTTACATTTATGCTGGTAGTAATCATTGTTCAGTTGCATTTTTCTCTTCCAAGCAAGTGTGCTACAAGAATTCTAGTGTTAAATCTGACATTTTTTGAATCTGAAGAAAAGACTTGACAGGCAGATGCTGTGGTCTAACTGTAGCAGTAATTACTTTGCCACACAAACTGAACCTTACCGCAATTAACCAGTCTGTCTTGGGTGAGGTACTTTAGGTTTTGGCAAAATCATCAGAGTAAGTCAAGTCTGGAATTTATGCCATTCCCTGAGGAAATTTTTTCTTTGTTACCCAAATAATTTGATTTAAACTTCAGTAAGCCTGTATTCCTGACCAGTAACCTTCTTATACTTAAAAAGAACTTATCTTTAATGCTGTGATGAGAAGTGCTGTAAGGTTGTGGAGAGAACTGCGTGTATTATTTAGGTGATCATTAAATCCTCTCTTAAGAGGCTAGAGACCATTACAGCTGAGATGAAACTTCAGTCTTTGGCTCCTCTTTCCTTCTTGCCACTGTTGATGTCCATGTCAATACATAAGGAGTCAATCAGAGGAGTTGTACCATCTGAAAAACAGTGTAAGATTCCTCCGTTAAGAAAAGATACTTTAATTCTATGAGTCAGCTCCCTGCCTGATTGGTGAAGTGCCAGTGCCAATGTGGAATTGCATCTTCAGACCTTGAGGAATCTTAATGTTGTGCTGCTCATGAAGGGAGCTTCTATAAAGTTTATTTTCAGCTGGATTAGAGTTACCCTGATTCTCCTTCGTAGCTGTGTTTGTAGTGTCAGCTTGAAGCAAGTAGTAGGAATACATGCTCTTTGGCAGGACTGTGTCTTTTGATGCAGCAGGAGCTTTAATCATTTTGAAATGACTGCAAAATGTTCTCTTGATGTTATGCTTTTAAGTACCTGTGGCGCAAATGCTCAAGTAAAATCATATAAGATCTAGTACCACACAAGGTAGTGGTAGGCAGTGGTAAAAGACAGAGGCAAAGGGCATCTGTGACATATATCCTTAATGGCTAAAACAATGCCAGTTCAGCTGAAATTTGTAATGTAGGGACATGTGTTCATAAATACCCTTTTTGCTAAAGCTATGCTGATTGAGGAAGATACTGATTACCTGGCTCAGCTGGTGACAAGAGCATTTTCTAACCTTTTTTTTCAGCTAAGCTAGTAAAAGTAAGAAAGATCATTTTATACCTAATATTCTGGAATAAAACAGAGCAGGGAATGTTGCAGAAGTGGCTGAGATGATGGATGGTAACTTCTGTCAGAGAAAGGTATAAGAAACAGTGCAGTATTCAAGCTATAGCTCAAGAAGTTAGAGCTGTAGGGGACAGGGTATGAGCCTGGAAACAAACTAACCTAGGTGGTGGCTTCCATGCTTTGCTTTCCTTTCAGAGAGGGAGGGTGTTGAAGTATTTTGTGATCTAAACCACACTAAGATTCTAATGTGCATAAAGTAGCCATAGTCTAAATAACCCACTGGTAAAAAAAATTGTGAACATACTCACTAAGGTACTCATCACATGTATCACAGGAAAAAAGTGATCAGTAAGTCTTTCACCACCCTTAATGTCATCACTCTTTAGAAGTCTTAGGGATGTATGTCAAGTACTTTATCTAGGTAATATTTGATATAAAAGGTAAGAAAATTATACTTAATTGTCTGGTAATACAAACCCTTTGTCTATTACAGGACCTTAGAAATTATCAGTATACTTTGCATACCATAGACAACCTGTTTATTCATGTCGAAATGGGTAGAAGCTGTATTAAAATACCCCTAAGGAAGTATAATGAGGTGAGTAAAACCATCTAGATTAGCTTTCTAATCCAAACTGCTTTAGTCTTTAATTTCCATGTAATACCAGTCACATCTTTAACATGAGCTCTTCAAAAAAAAAAAAAGGGGGGGGGGGCAGGGGGTTGGTTCTTAGAGGCTGTAATGTTTTTATTCTGTAATCAGTTTCCAGGCAGTTCTGCAAGTGAATTTTCCACTTGACAGCAAAGTAATCTAGAAATCTGGAGAGCTGCTATTTGCTGTGCAATAGACTCTTTGAACTTTAAACTGATGTAAACATGCGATGGGGGAGGGCATGAAATCTGAGCACACATTTCCTTCTTCCTGGATATGGTGGAAGGTGGGTAGTGATGAGTAAAAAGTTGAGCTTTAGGATAACTATTAAATGCTGAAAAATCAGCAGTTTCTTCAAAATCTTTTAGCATGTATTTTCAGGGATTCTCTTACACATTTCCTGATGGTGGTGTTTTGCTTAAAATTTAAAAAAAAAAAAAATTTCTGCCAGCATAGTTTTTATTACAATTTGTTTACTTCAGCTTTAACAAAAAAAGAGTAATAAACTGCACAAGACTTAATGTGTATTTTAGCCTTAAGACCAACAAAACTCCTACAACTCATATTCTGCATTGTCCAGACATACTCATTCCCTCTCTGCTGAAATAGTATTTTTGATCATGCTTAGTGTTCCTCCAGCTAGTCATGGCAAATTGTGTTGCTCAAACTCTCTGGAATTGACTTAACTGAATAATTCTTGGGATTTGCTTTGAGAGCTGGATTTTTCTAATGTCTTGTATTTAAAATGAGGTTCATTAGTTTAATGAAAAATCTTGTACTGACAGGTAATGAAGGTGGTAAATTCCTCTAATGAACATGTAATTAGTATTGGAGCAAGTCTTAATACTGAAGCAGATTCTCACTTAGTGTGTGTGCAGAATAACCATGGCCTCTATCACACACAAGCAATCAGCGCTACTGGACATCCTAGGAAAGGTAAGCTGTCTAATTTGGCTTGTGGAGAAAAAACACGTTTCTAGAGCAGAAGTGCAAGTTCACCTTTAGGCTGCAAGGAAAATATGTATTCCCAGTAAGTTGTTTAGACAAAAAGTTCAGCATCAAAGCAGCAAAGTAATTTAAAAGCAAAATAAAATGTTGCTGGTTGATATCAACACGTAGGTACCTTTTACAAATGTTATAATGAATGGAGATTAATACTTTTTTCTTCTTTGTTTCCAGAATGTTATTAATACAGCATACATTTTCAGACCTAATCAGATTGTTACATATGTCAAAACCTAAATTTAATATTAGTGTGAATTGGGCAATATATTTACATATATAAACAAATAGTCTCAATAACTGAGTGCATGGAAATATAGTAACAGTGAGGACCTCTATACAACACCTAGCAAACTGATACAACCGCCTGTACACAGAAGAGTGTAGAGGTACCTTTTAGGTTCTGAAAGTAATACAGCTGTGCAGCATGGCAGTGCATCTGGGCCGATGAGTTGTGCTTTTCAACAAGGTCCATTATTTGGGGGGGAATTCCAGATTGATAGGGCTGTACTCTTACAATCTCTGGTGTCAACCCGAAACGTTGTTCTGTGCTTCATTAAGCATAGCTCCTTAGTGTGGTTTTGTTGAAGCACTGTGTGTAACTAACAAATTTATGCAAAGGTTTGTAACATGGAAATTTGCTTATGTCACCTTTTCTTTCAATTGTGTTTAGTAAACATCATGTAAACTTCAGGAATATATTCTGTAAATAAATTAAAACTTGAGTGACATGTCTGTTTTAAAGGACAAAACCCAACAAAAAACCAACAAAAAACCCCACACCACTGTTTCTTCAACTCTGTCTTCTCTTTGCATATGGTGTTTTTTTTGGCTTGCCTGTGTTGGCTTGCCACCAATATCTTAAAAGGGTACTGTATACACCCTCAAAAAAAGTTAACAAGGCTGGTCTTTTTTGCCAAGGTCTGGTTGGAAAAAATTATTTTCTCTTCAAAAGAGTGTTATGTTGCATATCATCCTGTCAGTAAGGGATTTCTATTAGCGCTTTCAGTATAGTAGTACCTTTTTTGCCTGCCTTTCTAAAAAAGGAATGCAAGTTAAATGGTAGTAATGACAAACTTGAGCAATGTGAAATGGTAGTCACTTTGTTCCTACTTTTTCTAGTTACAGGTGCAAGTTTTGTGGTGTTTAATGGAGCTTTAAAAACATCTTCAGGATTTTTAGCTAAATCCAATATAGTTGAAGGTAAGAATTTTGTCCTATGTGGTTTCTTCTTAACAGAATTTAAAAAAAAAAACAAAACAGTAGTCTTGTGCAAGGTCTTTATTACTCAGTAATCTAAACTTTTCGGTATTTTTAACTTTGTAGAAAACCTGTTGCAAACAAATGCTGTATAAAAAATACAGGTGCTAGGTCACCTACTTGTTTTAAAACATACTAAGTTTTCACTCTTTTTGCTTTAGTCAATGCAAGTGTTTCCTTCATGGCTGCCTGTATCTGGAGCTACTTTCATTGCTGTGTTGATGAAATATATTTATTGACACAAATGTAAAAAACTTATAAGATTAGTCTAACGTAGACGATTCTATGATTCTAAGATTGATATTTTAGTCTTAGTTCTGTTGACAAGAAAGGTTTTCATTACTTCCTCTTTCATGTAACATTCAATGCTGTAGTTGGGGGATGGAGTCCATTTGATATGCATTTATTAGAGCTGTAGGAGAGGGTTGGTCCTACTAGAATTTAGGCCAAGATTCTACTAAACAGCTTTGCTACTCTTTCTGTACATAAGTTGGAATTCTAACTAGTTTTTTTCTAGATGGACTCATGGTACAAATAACGCCAGAAACGATGGAAGGCCTACGTCAGGCGTTAAGAGACAAGAAGGACTTTAAAATAACTTGTGGCAAAACAGATACAGGAGACATAAAAGAGTATGTCGATATTTGCTGGGTAGAAAATGAAGAAAAAACAAATGAAAGGTAAGTGTATTACCAAAGCAAAACATCTTAGAGAATTCTTGTTCCCAATTTTCAAATATCCACCTTTAATTTCTTGAAATTAATCTAAGGTATTTTGAAAGATAGTACTTGATACTAAAACCTGAAAGGGGATAGAATGGTAAATCTGTACCTGCAATCCTCTAGATGTCACTAACAGAGCAATTTTTCTTATAGTTCACCAAAACTTAATACTGTTTTCTCTGTTTGAGAAGTTGATGAGAAAAGTCAGTTTCCTTTGAAAGTTCTTTATCAAATCAGTAATCAGTTTGTGTGAGGATGTGATTAATCCCCTTAAGCTTCCTTACTGGGGTGGGGCTTGGAAGTGTATAGTACTGCCCTTGGCCATTCACTGCTTGGAATGCCAGTATTCAACAAAGCAAAATGAGATGTAAGACATCTTTATTGGATGTGATTTGAATGCTTGTTTATGTAGCTTCGAACTTTAATTATACATCACTAACTTAAAACTTGTCTCATCTTCAGTTGTTTCTCAGGCCATGAGCTTGACTTGGTATGCCTTTTTCTGTGGCTTCTCTGACCAACTGGAACAAACAGTGGCTTTACCTAAGATGGTTTATAGCTTCTTAAATGTGTAAGATTAGGTTTTTAGTAAGTGTTGTTTGTTCCTTATTTAGGATACTTCTTTTTGTGGCATCTGTATTTTCATGATGCAAGTCCCGTATTACATTTTGTTGTAAAGCTGTTTAAATGGCCTTTAAGGATGGCTAAACATTATTTCATACAAGTTACTCAGATCATAAAATGTTGTTTTAATTATCCATACTGTTATCTTCCACAGAATTTTAAGCCCAGTCGATGGAAAATCAATGGAAGGAACTCAGAGTGAAAAAGTACCACAAGGCAGAGACTTCGAAAGAGAGGGAAAAGTTATGAAGTGTACTGAAGTTAGTAAATTACATTGCTCTTGAGCTGTTCTGAAATGTTTTAGAATTGCTAAGTAGTAAAGAGATCATACTAAGTGAAACTACTAATGAAACTAACTTACTTGATGCATTGCCATACTGATAGGCAGAATGTTCTCTGTAGCTCTTCGATAAGTTTACATACTTTTCATTTTTCTCCTCTGAAAAAGACTAAGTGTGTGTTCGCATTGATAACTGTATAAATATGTAATCCAGATATTCACATGGTCACTTAAGTATTTTGATTGAATAGATGGAATATTAAAATACTTCGCCAGCAAACCAGCATTGTAGCTTGCTCTGTTCTGCATTATGTGTATACTGAATTACTCTTCCTTCCTTTGGAATATAACCAGGCTGCTGACTGTCCTTATCCTTTCTGTAATTTCAGGTATACTATTTTCTAAAGGATCATGAACTACCCAGTCCTGTTCCTCACCAGTTTGCTAAAGAGATTGCTGTTGCCTGCAGTACTGCTCTCTGTCCACACCTTAACACGTTGAAAAATAATGGGATGAATAAGATAGGCTTAAGAGTTTCTATTGACTCAGATATGGTAATCTTTTAACATCTATTGCAGACACTCTATTTCAACTGAAATCTTTCTTGTAAAGACCTTGAATCTTTTTCTGAATGTTTTTAGTTTTTTGCCCTACCCCAGATCCAGACTGAGGATGAAATTTCATGAAGAACCTGTCTTAATGGCTAGTTTTTCTTGAAAGGAGTAGTCCTGTTTCCTTATTCTGCCCAAATCCCCTAATAGCTGCTTGCAGTAAGCTATCAGTCCTTCCCTAGTTCTAACTCTCTCTGGCACTCATCTGCCTCCAAGGTGAGTCAATTTAGAGAATCATGGAGCTAATTTTCTGGTTCTTTTCTCAAATTACATAGTTTCCTGCTGGTTTTGCTCCCTAATGTAGTTCAGTAAGGCATATTTGCACCAAAATCTGTACAGCAGAAAAGGACAGGTCTGCCCAGCTGAGGATGGAAGAGAGGGAAGGCAAGGCTGTCCGGCAGGTGATGCCCCTCAAGAGATGACAAAACTGTAGAACAGTTCAGTTCCTTGCCTCTGAAGGTGTTCTGTGTTGTACCTCCTTACCTTTTTTGAGAGAAGCTGGAAATGCAGTCCTGAAAATCTAGTTTTCAGTAATATATTTTGAAATCGATCTAATAGTAACTGTGATCCTAGGACATAATCAGTTCACTCCTGGACACCAGACTGAAGGAGTCTGGGACGGAGAGGATGTGTGGCCCTGTAAACCCAGGGGCAATGTTACATGCTTCTCAATGGCAAGCCTAATCGTTCATGATTGACCTCAAAACCCATCCAGTTGCCAGTGTTTGGATGTTATTTTGTCACTTCATGCTAGCTGAAATAATCTTTTACCAATATACTACACTTTCACGTTGTCTTGTTAGTATTAATGTTGCTATTAACACTTTTAATGTTTTCCTTCTAGGTTGAGTACTTAGCTGGATCTGGAGGCCACCTTCTTCCACAGAACTATCTGAATGAATTGGACAGTGCTCTGATTCCTGTGATTCATGGCGGGATGTCAGATCCTACAAGTCTACCATTGAAAATGGAATTAATATTTTTCATTACAGAACATCTGTTTTGATGAGGCTGATTACAGGCAATACACTGATTTGCTACATCTGAACACCAAAGTTGTAATGCTATAAACACTAAAAATGTTGAAGTTTCTAAACCTGTTATGTTTTAATAGATTTTCAGACTGTTTTTTAAAACCCTCAAATCCTCTCTGGTTGCTTTACCACAAAAGAATTGTAGTTTGTCATGTTTCCTAAAGTTCTGAAAGTTTACACTTAATACAGGTGCAGAAGAGGGCAGGTTTTGTTACCTCTTTACACAGTTGTAGCATTTACTGTATGTAGAGTAACTTCAAGCCATATTATCTTGCCTCTTAACCTCACACAAATGTGTTAATAAAAATTGCTATGGGTAGATCTAATCTTTCTCTGAAGCAAGTGCTTTCCATGTGTAAATGAGATGAACACTGGAGTGGAAGCTGGCACAAAACTGTTTTCTTGCCATTTGAGATTCAAATATGAGGTCTTCTGTAGCTGACAGCAAACTTCCTATGTCAGTGCAAAATACAAGTGTGTACCTTCTGACACTTGTTTATGGTCATCATGAGGAAGAATTTTGCAGGTATGTTTATGAAGACTTTGTAGTTGAAGTCCTTAACATGAGGATGTTATGCTGGTGCTTCAGGAACATAGGCTCTGAATTTTTTTTTAATAACTGATTTCTTTCTTGTATTTATAAGGATTTATCTAATTTAAATGGATGCTATTTTTATAAATACTGCTTTTTTTTATTTACTCTGTGTTCAGAAGTCCTGATACAATTTGATCTTTCAAGGATTAATAGAAGACCAGATTACCCTTGACCTAATCTACATGTAGCAATAAGTCACACAAGAATTCTGCAATATCTTTTCTGCTCCTGTCTACTATTTTTGCCACCTCTTAGTAGCCACCTTTACTTTCAGGGAGAATTGATGTATTAAGTGTGAATTTTCATGAACAGATTGATTTTTTTAGTATACCTGAAGTTCTTGTATAGTATGTATTTTTGATATTCGGTCATTAAGATCTATTTATGTATTTGTGATGCATGTGACTTGTACTGATGTTCAGCAAACCGTAATTGGGGTTTGGTAACTGTCACATGACTGTTTATCAAAACAGAACCAAAATTAAATATATACAAGATCTATATTGTTTTCAGTAAAAATGCTGGTACAGTTTTGTAATAAGACTATTAAAACTTTGATGCCTTCTTGATGCTAATAGGGGATATTTTATGTTTTTGTATCAAAAACAATTTGTAACTTAACCTGCTCCGCTGTTACCTATGCTTCAAAATACCAGTTCTGGAAGGGCCTGGGCTTCAGGATCTTGCCCTGGAGGAAACTGGGGCTAATTCATGTAACTTCTTTAGAGAAACTGCAGTTGTGGGGGAGAGCTGAAGACCACACCACGCGCAGTATGAACAAAACCTGTCCCTGCCTGAAAACAAGCTGCAGCCAGACAGTCGAGGAGACAACAGCGGAAGGCGGAACAGTCGTTACGGACTGTGGCTGGCTTGCTCCCGGTACCCTGTCCGCCGTGGGTGCTCCAGCCTTGCC